CCCCAAAACCCCAAAACCCCAAAACCCCAAAACCCCTAAAGTTCTCAATATTATTGAAGCTAAATTTCCTTTAATTGTTACGTGCCCTTAGCAAACACAACGGACGGCTAACATAAATTGTCAAATTCATTTAGTAGAAAGTGTAATCATGAAGAAGCTCACGAGTCAGCTTATTCATTGGTTTTGGCCCAATTGGGATTACCATGGTCTCTGGACCTGGAGGAGGCAAATGCTCCTCCAAGATCTCTCTTGTGATGTATCCAACATCAGAATCCCAATTTTCAGGGTCTTCTGGTTTGTCAATGATGTAATGGATCTTGATATTCTCAGGATATTGTTTCTGGAGTTCATCGAGTTCATCTTTAAGTAAAATATCCTTCTCAGTCTTATTTCCGTACACTATAGAGATTTTCAATGGATCTTTGTTGTCAACAACAGCTTTCATGTATTGGAAAAATGGAGTAATTCCAGACCCTCCAAGAACACCTCCAAGATGAGTCATTTTGTGTGGTTCCCCTGAAAGAATCCAGTTACAGTCTCCTTTGTAAACTTTCTTGGAAACTGGTCCTCTCATCTTGACCGAATCCCCAACCTCCAAGCCTTCAAGATATCTGGTCATTCTTCCTCCATTTGGGAACTTCGGGTGATCTCCAGCTCTGTAAATCTTCACAAGGAAGTCTACGTATCCTTTCTGGTCTAGACCAGAGATAGGAGTGTATTTTCTCTTGACCTCAGACACTTCATTCCCATTCTCTGGATCTGGACAATCAGCATAGAATAAGATATGACCTCCGAGTTCGAGTCCAAACTCCTGTTCTTTATCGGGAAATCCAAATCTACAGAAATAGTTCAAATTTCTTACCTAAAAATATAGCTGTCATGATTCAGGACTATTTTCTCAGTGAGTTTCATTTGGAAGCAATCACTTTCATCTCTTTCGCATGTTTGCAAAAACCCACTCATGCTAGGCTTGAATCCTTTTGAATTGTCTTGCTCTATGCTTTCTTTTCTTCTCATATAATAGACTACTAGACCAGCTCCAAGAGCGAATCCTACCACTGGGGCCAACTTCTTAAAAATACAAGTCTCCTGTCCTTCACTTCCACTTCCAGCTGTCTTCCCTAGACTACTTCCCATATTCCCAATATCTTTATTTATTATTCAACCTGGCCCACGCCAGATGGGGTTTTGGGGTTTTGGGGTTTTGGGGTTTTGGGGTTTTGGGG